ATTATTTAGTGTAATAATATATCATTGAATATTTCAATTTCAATATAATTAATCTTTACTAATAATTGTAGTTTAATGTAAATATAACTAATGATATATATATATATATATATATATATATATATATATATATATATATAATGCAAATATAATTAATGTATTGTATGTAACTGAAATGAATATTAGTGGCATGAGTTATTGAAGGAGAGAGTTAACCGCATAATTAATGAGGAGATATTATTAAAAGAGTTAATGGAAAAGAAGAGAGAGAGAGAGAGAGGGGAGGGAGGGAGAGAGTTAATGATGTATTAATGAGGAGTATTAAAATTTTTAAAGGTGATTGATCACTTGAATTATTTTACTCAATTTTAAAATAAAAAAAAGATAAATAACTTTGAGAATAAACCACAAAACATAAAAGTGCCAAATTGGCACATTCCCTTTTAGTATATGTATAGATAAAATAGAAATCATCAGTGATGTTGTAACCGTTGAATTGGATCTCAAAAGAAAAATTATTGGGTGGAATCCAATATTGGGCTGGCCCACCAAGGTTCAAAGTATCAACACGTATCATGATGATGGCTTTCCGATATGCCCCTCCAAGGGTTGTATCGGGTTAGACCATGGTTTAGAGGGTAGCCAGGCCTTAAATCGATCCCTCTGAATCAATTTTGAAAAAAATAAATAAAACTTAAAAAAAGTACCGATATAGGCCGATATGCCCTACCGGCCTATGTCGATACTTTGAACCTTGACCTCCACCTGCTAAAATCAACTCTTAAGTCTTAAATGTCAATTATTATTAGACCTGTTCATGGGTCGGGTAGCCCAATAGGTCTGGCCCAGCCTGGCTCGATCTAAGTTAGGCTTGGATAGGATTTCAAACCTACGGGCTCGGGTCAAGCCTAAAATATCGGGCCCGACCTTTCTTTGGGTCAAGCTCAGGCTTTCTCAAAAAATCCTAGTTCGAGCCCAAGCTTGACTTGATAATGTATTATATAATAAAAAGTATATTTTATATAATAAAAAAACATATATATATATAGTATTTTTCTTCTCTTTTTTCAAGTAATAATGAGATCTTTCATTATTTTTTTTAAGAGGTCTTTTAGTATAAATAAAAGACCTACCATCTAGATGATGTTTAGATTACATAAGAATTTAGTTAATATTCATTGATTAAAATCAAGGTTCAAAGTATTGATACATATTGTATTGTATTATATGTATTGTATGAATATTTAAGGTCACGGAAACTATAGATAATAAGAGTTAGGGCATTTTTATAATTTCAAATATTAATAAGGCCCATACCATCCTAAAATGCCTATCTTACAATCATTAAGCCTTGTCTCAATTATATGGAGTCGATCAGCTTATCTATAAGATCCTATTTCGCGAGTCTATTTTCTTGGGTGCTGTGTCCATTTTTTGTTTATTTCCACTTAAATTCTTTTTTGTTCATATTTTGTGATATTTAAAAGAGTTCCACTATGATGCTGGAAAGACATGATAAGGAAAAAATAAAAACTTATAACCAATCAACCAAATTATCATAAAAAGTGATAATGAGAGTTTTCATAAGGGATTTTGATTGGTCAAACCTCGCCAATATCATGTCTTTTCAACATTATATTTCTCAAATATAAAAGTCAATTTAATATTTTTATTAATGAATTGAAAAAACCAAAAAAATAAAAAAATATAACTAACTACTTTTTTCATTTTACTGCATTTTTATACAAATTGAGAAAAAGAGCCTAAGAAAACATCTCAATTCCTTCATTACAAGTAAAAAAATTTCTTAAACTATCCTTATGGTTTAGCTAATTCACTATGTATACTCTTATTGTTTGAAAATTAACTAACTTACCCATTCTTTTTTTGACAATTGACTAATACTTCCCTTACCATTCCGTCATAAACCATTTAAATATGCATCACATGACTCTTATAACTTTCAAAAATACCCAATTTACCCTTCTTATAACCATTCGAATCGCCATCATCTACGAGCCGACGACATTCTCGTGCAAGAAGCTGCCTTGCCGAACCGTCGATCAGAGCCAATGGGCGAAGCCCCATCTTACCGACCCTAGAAAAAATCAATGATAGTCTGTCTCTTGCCATACGAAGAAAACCTGAAACCCACGCAAATACAAGTTTCACACCCAGTGAAGCAATAAACTACCAATGTGGTGTTCCGGAAACCAAAACGGTCTCGGCGATCATCAAGAAATCTTCGAGCTTGCCATCCTCGTCGAGCTTCGAGGCGAGGTCGGTATAGTATTTCAAGCGGTTCTGATGGCATGGCGTCAGATCCTGACGGACATTCGTGAGCAGAGGTGGACGAGGGGCAGTAGTGGAGTCAACGGATGAGCATGATAATTTGGCGGGAGAAGGTCTGGTGGGACTCAGTAACGAGTGCTTTTGCTTGGTGGAATGGAGGGGAAGAGTTGGGCTTGGACTTGGAGGGAGAAGCATGGAAGAGCCAATGATAGCCAGCTCTTTCATTCTTGGCCAACCGTTTCTTCTGGTGAGAATTCTAGCTTTTTATACAGCTTTCGAGTTTCGGGTCAAGAACTCAGGATTGAATTTGAAAGGCGGGTCTCTTTTTTGCCGAGGTTTGGATTAGGTTGGTTTCGATAGTTGGATTGCTAAACTGTCGATGTTGAAGGACCAAAGCATTTAAGCAAATGAGTTATTTTGCCGGCTGAAGTCGGTGACAGGGGATAAAAACTGTGAGAAGAAGAGAAAAAGAGAAGAAGAAAGAGAAAAATAAGAGAGAGACCGGAGGTAGGGTTTAGGAAGAATGCAGATGCCGATGCCGAAGTTATAAGAAGGGTAAAGATGTGGTGTATTACGGTACTGTACATCGACCCTACTTAGCTTCTTCAAGGTCGCAACACCGAACAGAGCTGGCGGCGAACCTTGTTCTGCTCTCCCATCTCTCTCTCCTTCCTGGTTCAACCTTGCGGCAGTGACAACGAAGCCTCACCATGGCTGTGTACTATTTCGTAATTTTGATTTCAGCATTGTTCATCATCGAACACTATTCATCCATCGTCCCCAATGTCCCGTAAATCTGATACTCAGTTCATTATGAGATTTTCTACCTCCTCGCAATCAGATTTTGGCATAGTTCATCGAACACTGTTCATCCATCGTCCCCAACCTCTTGCCTGATACGCTGTTAATGATCTCCATTACAATATTGAACCAGAGGTGGTGAGGTTCTCCACCTCACCCAAACATTGAACCAGCACTGTTAATCGTGCAACAATTGTCGTCACCTGCAACTGGTTCTTTATCGGCAACACTGTCTTTCATGTAATCAGCATCATTTTTTCCTTCGTTGGCAACCTACTACTGGTCCTAAAATGTTGAAGTCAACCTCTGTTCAAACCCACAATCAACATTTTGGGTTTTGGACTTGGTTCATCGATTCCTCTATTCATGGGAGAGACGAGGGAGAAAGAAGAGAGAGTGAGAGAGGGGGGCATAGATGGAATTGAAATTTCATCCGCTACGACGGCGGTGGACATAAACCTCGACAATCTGAGGCAGGTGTCAAAATTTTCATTTTGAAAATTTAAAGAAGAATGATAAGCAAAATAATCTTTTTAATTAAGGGCTCCACTTAAATTCCTTTTTGTTCATATTTTATGATATTTAAAAGAGTTCCACTATGATGGTGAAAAGACATGATAATAAAAAACTAAAAAATTATAATCAATCAACCGATATCATAAAAAGTGATAAGCGGGGTTTTTATAAAAATTTATGAAGGGGATTTTGATTGGTCAAACCTAGCCAATATCATGTCTTTTCAGCATTATATTTCTCAAATATAAAAGTTAATACTTTTATTAATGAATTGAAAAAACCAAAAAAATAAAAAAAGATAATTAACTATTTTGTTCATTTTACTGCATTTGTATACAAATTGAGAAAAAGAGACTAAAAAAAGAAAAAAAAGGAGAAAAAAATAATTTCAAGGCTTAGTACGTACCTCCAATGATCCAATGCCCATCTCCTTTCAATTGGAGTCTGTACCCCTGCCAATAAAATAAGTTTCAACCCTCTACCACATGATTTTACACCACACATTTCATACATAACAGACTTCACTTTTATGGTGTAAATCAATCTCATGGTGAGATGTAACGTATTTTATTGGTAAAACATTTAAATTCCTTCGTTGCAAGCCCAGGGTCAGAATGGGGTGGACATTGGTGTATATAATGGGGTTTTTGACATTTTAAATGTTTATAGCTCTGCATTAGAATTCAAAGATTTACATTTAACCTGTCCGTACTTTTCCAAAAATTTTAACTTCCATCATTTCCAATTTAAAGTGTTCATGATTATCTGTACTCTCACCTTACCAATTGAAATTTATTTTTTAAAATCAACCCAAACGAAGAAAATCACTGTGCATCCCTTCCAATTCCAATCGCCATTCTTCACGTTAACGGACGTTTTGTAAGCAGCACAAATATGTGATGTGACCTATTAATTCATTTTTGCCTTTTTGGATGAATCATTTACGTCACCATGAAAATTGTCAACCTTACCAGTAATAGTTGACAACTCAACCACCCTCCGTCCAGAAAATTGTTTGAGTAGAATCTTTTTTCATTACTCTTAATTGCTTTCGTACCCGTGCGATGGACAGTATTTATTCCAATCGAAGGGTTTTCTCCGTAGGATCTTTTCGTTGCTTTCCACCAAGTACCTCTTTCGTCGTGACACTCAATCCGAATCGATTGTTGCCAAAAAAAATCGAGTCGATTAGTAGCTATTGGTGTCTCGCGCCCTACAGTACATCTCAACCGTGTATTAGAAATATCTCGAACTGATACTTCGGGAGATATTCTCAATAAATGGGGCGTTTGTGGGACGCCGGACACAAATGTCATCTGTCTTTTCAACTATTCGCTGGAAACAATTTCGTACCTGTGGGGTTACGTAAGGCCTCTTTTATTTCCGTTCGAGAACTCCAACACACAATCTCTCTATCTCTCTGTCTCTCTCTCTCCAATGGCTCAGCAGAGGCTTCAAACTCCGCTGTTGGGATATCCCGAGCAGGTCAATAAGAAGGGTCGGAGCAGAGCGATAAGGGTTTCGTTTGCGGTCTTAACGATTATAGGTCAGTTTTACCGTCATATGTTCTTGATGTCGCAATTGTACTGTCGATTTGCATCTTTCATTTTGTGATACACGTTTCATCGTTGTTGAATTCCTTGATATAGTAAGAGCTTCTGAGTATCGATTGTTATGAGAATAATCCTTGTTTGGTTTTACAATTGAACCTCTTTCTTTCCTTTGGTAATATAATCGAATTTCTTTGTTCCTAAGATTTTAATAGTTTTGCAGTCTTTGTATTAATCCAAGATTTACGGATTTCCCTCTTGTCCAGAATTGACACTTTTAGATAGTTATTTTTTTTAAGCTTTACTTCGGAAAACCGATCCTAATCAAAATTGATTTTGAGAGCGCGGGCCTGTATTGATTAAGCAGATAGCAGAACGTAGATCACTCAAACTTGTTGCTCAGATCTGTCCTCTCCTCGCGCTCCCAAATGCTGGAGCAACTTGTTAATAGCCCTTATCTAAACGTATATTTTACTACTGGGTGGTGATGACGCGGAGCGAGTGGTCCCTGCCCTGTTGTGCTCTTCGTCCTGTACTGTTCACCAATCACCTCTCATCAGTGTGGCCCGTATAAAGTCTGAAAATTTTAAAAAGTTTAATAAAATTCCTCAAGTTATTCTCACGCGACTGAATTCGACAAACCAATCACGCCTGAACGTGCATGTGTACGCGGGTCACACGTTAGAGTTCGTTGGAGATCCGGAATGAGTGATGAGAAGGCTACTATTCTGGCCACATGGCACCGTTCTCACGAGGGAGAATCCAGATTTGCTCCTCTCAATCCTCGCGCGCCTCACACTCGTATTTAATATTATCATTTATGGGAAGACGTTCCCAAATCACGGATGTAATGTACTTTGATTTTTGTGAGATTGGTGTGAAATGTGCTTGAGGAGTAAGAATGGCAACCCTCCCCGTCCCTGTTGTCAAAATCCACTATTCCAATTTCGGTGATAGCCGATGGGGAAGAGGAATTCTCAAATTTTTCCCATCCCAAAGAAATACTTAAAAATACATCAAATTTTAGATATAAAATTATTGGAATTTGAAGATATTTTAGAGATGTGATTATTTTTGGATGCTCTATTGCTCTTCAACGAAAAAATTGTTTTCATACATATCCGCTTTTGCAACACTTTTTGTTTTAGCTATTGCGGCTCTGTTTATTTATTTTTTTAACCGAAAATGACTACGAAAACGTAAAGCATTATTTGTTGGTGGTGAACTATAGTGGTAGGCCTTGTAGCGGACAGCAGTTTGGGTCGTTGGAGAGTGAGGAAAGAGCCCAAGAAATTGGAAGCGAGGGGAGAGACTAGTGACGTGGTTGAGTCTGAACATGGCGTTGTCGCCGCTGACGATGGCCGTTGTTCTGAAATCGGGGCTTCAATCCTCAGAAGTGGGGGCCATGCAGTTGATGCTGCAGTGGCAGTGGCATTGTGTCTTGGTGTTGTCAACCCAGCGTCAAGCGGGATTGGAGGCGGCGGTTTCATGGTCGTTTGGTCTGCGTCAACCTCAAAAGCCCTAGCTATTGACTTTCGAGAGACTGCTCCCTTAGCTGCTTCAAAGGTATCATCCCAATTGTCTCTCTTCATATTCAATTCATTTGCTGGGATAAATTAGCTAGCAGTTTTAGTAGGCTTTTAAAGATACATGACATGTCTTAATTTAGTGATGACTTGTTATCCATGGATAAATTTTAAGGCATTAAACTTCCTTTGAATTCAAAAAAGATATCTAGAATCTAAGGATGGAGTTTTACTGAGACCGGTACCCAAGTTGCTTAGAGTTCAACTTCGACTTGCCAAGTTTAACCCAATAGCTTCTCAATCCAGTGGGTGTTACCCAAAAAAAAAAACAGTGGGATTTGTTGAGGTTCTGCTTCAATTGAGAGATTTTGGGATTTTCAACTCAATCTCCAATTCAGTACAGAATTTCTATCACTGGACTAGCAAGCTTTCTGACTTGTCCCATGTGCAATAGTGTGAATGCATCTTCATATAAACACTCTTACATCGTCAGACTGGGGGGTCTGGGTCAGGTTGAACCCAAATAAAATGCTCCTAAACAAGCGCTTGCTGACTGATACAATTCTTAATATTAGCTACAGCCATGCCTGTAACCACATGATTCTTTAATCAAGTGAACTACTACCAGTTGGTGGAGTATAACCCGAAAATCAGACCAATCAATAGATCTTGAATCTGCAGGGCCTGTATCTCAGTCTGAAATCCAAAACGGTCTCCTTGGGATACAATCAGATTCTGGATCATGATTGTTGATTCAATAGATTATTAGATACAATGCGTACTATGTTTTTATATGAAGTATATTGATAATTTCTGTTCATATTATGATGGTCCTGAAACTGAATTTCAACAAACAGAACATGTACGAAAAGAATCCTCAAACCAAGTATATGGGAGCACTCTCAATGGGTGTTCCAGGCGAGATAGCAGGTCTTCATGAAGCATGGCTGAAACATGGACGCCTGGCTTGGAAGTCTCTGTTCCAACCCGCCATACGGCTAGCCAAAAATGGGTTCGTGATCACTTCTTATTTGAGTGCAGTCATCAAGAACCGTGAGAAGCTGATCGTTGCTGACCCAGGATTACGTCGAGTGTTCGCTCCAAATGGGAAATTGTTAGAAGCTGGGGATACCTGCTACAATGTGGAACTTGGCCATAGCTTAGAGGCAGTTGCTGAACATGGACCGCATGCATTCTATAATGGAGCCATTGCCCAGAATCTTGTAAAGGATGTGAGAGAGAATGGTGGAATTTTGACAATGGAGGACATGAGAAATTACAGAGTGGAAGTGGAGGATGCAATGGTCGTAGATGTCATGGGATACAGAATACTAGGAATGCCACTTCCTTCAAGCGGGACTCTTGGACTGTCCCTGGTGGGTGTCTTTTAACTGGTCGGTTTATTAATTCTTATTTTTGCTTGTTGATACACAGGACTTAGGCTACCCTTTGCATGTATCTAGCGTGTATGAATTACAGTCATGGGGCTTATTTTTTCTGCTTGATAATGTTGTTGAACAGATCTTAAACATTTTAGATAGCTATGGCACGTCAGATGCAGCTAGGGGTCCTCTGGGTCTTCATCGCCTAATCGAATCGCTAAAGCACATGTTTGCCATTCGAATGAACCTTGGCGACCCTGATTTTGTTGATGTAACTAAATATGTAACTGACATGCTTTCACCATCTTATGCTAAGGAGCTCCAGCAGAAAATATTCGACAATACCACATTTCCTGCTGATTACTACATGTACAGGTATAAATTAACTGAACATATAATTCCTGAAGCTTCTGGTTTTTATACTTTATTTAATATTTCTTTCCTAACTGCTGCTGCCGCCAATGTTCCTTGTTGTTTCATTTTCACTGAAAGCTCGAGTATCCTTGAAAATTTTCAGATACAGCCAACTAAGAGACCATGGAACTAGCCATTTCTGTGTCGTAGACGCGGATAGAAATACAGTATCCCTGACAACAACTGTTAACTATCCCTTCGGATCGGGAGTTCTTTCACCTTCTACTGGCATTGTAATCAACAACGAGATGGATGACTTCTCCACGCCCACAGAGACAACTGTCGACAAACTTCCTCCAGACCCTGCTAATTTCATAGAACCAAAGAAGAGGCCTCTTTCTTCCATGACTCCTCTTATCATTCTAAAGGTACAGCGATGCTACTCTTCTTTGGTTCTAGGACAATGTCAATTGGGTTCAGTTTTTCTTAAGCAGAATATACTCGGATGAAGGGATAACCCCTGATCAGGATGGAGTAAACCCACTCGACCCATTTGTGCAGGACAATCAGTTAACCGGTGTCATAGGAGGAAGTGGCGGTATGATGATCATCCCGGCGGTGGTTCAGGTCTTTATCAACCATTTTATCCTGGGAATGGAGCCTCTTGCGGCGGTGCAGTACCCAAGGGTCTATCACAGGGTATTCTTCAGGCTTTTTTTTCAATGGCTAAGGAGTATTACCTGTTTATTTTCTCTATTTCTGTATAGTTCTTGAGAACCGAGATTGAGAGGGTCATCCCTTGCTCTTGACATACCTTGCAGGTAATCCCAAACGTAGTCTTATACGAGAACTGGACAGTGATCGACGGCAACCACATTGAACTGTCACAGGAAAATAAGATTTTCTTGGAAGAGAGGGGTCATGTACTGAAGGCGCAAGCAACTGGTGCTATCTGCCAGCTTATTGTGCAGGATCTCTCCAGGCTACCGGTTAACTCGGGAAGGAAACTGGGAGGAAGGCCGGATAATGCGCAGGTCTTCCATGGAGTCCTCATCGCTGTGAGTGACCCCAGGAAAGATGGGAGACCAGCGGCCGTTTGATCTGCATAGTGCCAGGTTTTCGTTCCCAATACGTTTGTCTCATCGATTAGATTGGGCTCTCATATCTCAATCGTGGAAAAAAGAAGATATATCCCTGCAGTTCTATCACCTGTGTAATACTGATGAACTACATGACTCGCTTAGGTCCGATTTGTACATAATAATCCTACGGAAGCTAATTTGATATATTTTTTCTCCTTGTTTCAAATGCAAGAAATATTATTAGTAGTTAATTAATCAGCACTTCAGAGTCTCAGGCCACCAAAACGTGGTCTGTGCGGACCTGATATGCTTCGTTTGACTTTTCGGGAAGGTTGGGCGGACCATAAGAAAAGTGGGACCCGCCATTGCAATTGGATTGCATGCTTCCCAACTGTCCAAGACCGAAGTAGCCAAGTTGTTTCCCTTCCTCACGGCCTCACGGGATGAGAGTATATGTGGAGTTGTGGACCAATGCGCCAGAGCTCCTGGGGCCCATACCCTCGTTCCAAGTGGAAGTTCCTACTAGACTCAAACTCAATACATGCAAAACACAAACAAACTCAGCATTCACAGTCACAGACTCACACGGGGTGAGAAATGGAAGGGTTCCAAGTTCTATGATCAATTAACCATAACGCCCCTTCTCAGGCTAACCATTTCTGTTATTTTTTTCTTGTCAGTCAGGCTAGTTGACTTCTGAAAGGCAGCAATCCTCTACTCTATGGAGTTGGAGGGTTAGGTAAGATTCATCTACCAAAATTTGGGTGGCCCGGCTCAAAGTAAAGAACCATAAAATCCAATTAAAGACCTAGCTAGGCATTGCTTACAGTGATTTCACTATCTACACCAAAGGTATGTACGCATGTAATTAATTAGTAAGAAGGAACGAAACCCCTTTAGATGACCAACATGAAGATGAAGATATAGATAGGCTACATGCTCGCCAGCTACACCTACAAGAAAGATTCAGAACAACATGCACAAACCAAGTGCATCATGATACACATGCGCATAGATCTGAGAACTAAAAAAGAGAGACGAAATTAAGCAGAAATTACAGAGAGTAGCAACTAGCAACAAGAGAGTTAAAAGGAAAGCTAATTAAGCAGAGCTAAATCTAAGCCACTCACTCGATGATCAATACCCCTGGCCCTGTCCCTGGGTAACTTCCTGTGCCTTCTGCTGCACATACTGCCCATATTCCTTAGCCTTGTTTGCAAGCGTCGTTCGTGCATAGTCAAGTTGGTCCGAACCCAGCGGGTGCTTCCCTGACATGTAGTTGTAGGTCCACGACATAACCGATAGCGCTGCTACAGCGCATCCACCTGAGAACAGAAACCCTGTAGCCACCAGGAATACAACTATCGCCGCAGGTATTAGTATGGGACTAAACAGCACCAGCAAAGGAGTTGCAATAACCAGGGATATAACTGTTCCGGTTAGGATCAGCCCCGACAAAACCAACAGTGTAGTCCCAATTGTAGCTGCTGTTAGGAATTTAACCGTCTGGCGTGAATTTGGAGCCGATTCCGATATTCTCTGGGTCACTGACTTAATTTGCTCAGCCATGATCGATCAACGACTAAGGAGAAAGTAAGATTAGTATAATAGAGCACCGAGAAGCAAGTGAAAGGAAGGATAGGGAGAAGTTATACATAAAAGGGATTAAACGTCTTGGATTTAAGCAACGTGGCTGTGAGCTCAGATGGCCATGACCTCGTGATAAGTAAAGGTTCAGGCTCTGGCTGTGTCGAAGTGGTGGCGCGTAGATGTAATTGGCAGCTCTGCATGTCTGGAGTGGCTACGAGAATGACTCGTGGCGGCAGAGCAGCTGGGTCTGGAACAGTGGGCTTAAACGTTGTAAATCTTAAGGCATGCCCGGTGGTGCTTGGTTCAGCCGTTCAGGTTTGTAGTTAGTAAAGGCTCAACGGTTCTTGTTGAAGGACACTTTTTTTTTCTTTTTCTAATTTGCCGCCGTTAGGTGGCCGTCAGTACGGGGTAAAACTTAAACTGTTGGCCCTATGCTGTTGTGAGATTTTATGAGAATGCCACGTTACGATGAGAATGGGTAAATTAGTAATTACCTTTTAATTTATTTTAACTAAAAACAAAAGCATGGAAGTAAATGGGTGACCTGTTCAGGACGTGCCTAGCCTAGAAACTGTTTCAACACCTGGGCCCCAACAGCCAAAGTTAACCCGTCCGTACAGAGGTTTTAAGAGAAAATTCCAATTAATACCTCTAGTCTCCAAATTTTAAAATATGATAATTCAGTATCTAAACTTTCAAAATGCGATAACCCAGTATTACTGTTAATTAGCTGTTAAGTAACATTTTAAAAAGACAAATGCTCTTCAAGAGTTATTTTTATCAATTATCTAAACATTGACAAAAAAATTAATAGTCCTAAATTCTTGCCTTTTCTATTCAAGAAAGTTAAGATTACTATAATGCCCACTCAAACATAAACCCGATTTTATTGAATAAAAAAAGCAAGGATTTGGGATTGTTAAATTTTTATCAACATTTAAATAGTTGATAAAGAAAATTAAATAACACTCGAAGGGCATTTGTATCCTTTTCAAATATCACATAACGGCAGGTTAACTGATGATTAATGACAAGTACTAAATTGTCATATTTTGAAAGTTCAGGTATTGAATTGTCGTATTTTAAAGTTCAAAGACCAAAATAACAATAAACACAAAATACAAAGTATTAATAGAGAATTTTCCCTTTTATTAATCAATCAAGACGTCAAATGGACAGCATGGTCCAAACTTTTTCCCCGACGATTAGATTTCATATTTGGGTAGAAATAAAATATGTTTCCATGGGTCTTACAGTAATAAGAGGAAAATCGTGAACTGAGCAACAAGGGAAGAGAAAAAGTTGAGTGTCTGTGGTTGATGTCAATGAAGAGTATATAACAAACAACGGTAAAGGATCATGCACTGAACCATGTGATATTTATTACTTCCAAATTCAGCATCAAATAATGAAATCATAAAACATACAGAATAAGACATTCAGAAGCCTTAGAGAAATATTGGTAACAAGTTCGATAGAGCAGCGAGGATCATTTTACCATTTAGCATTTGTTGAGATTTCTAAACCTTGGACTCTTGGAGGCTTTTCTTGTTAGTAATGCAAGCGTTGATTGGATTTGCTCTAGGTCCACTCCAAACTCCTAATCTATTGCAGCCGACCTTAAGACAAATCGTCAGGGTGTTTGACTTTGCTTTGCTAAAAGAGATAATAGAGGCTGAGGCTGTATATTAGTTTGGTAATTCAATAAGAAATAACCATATAATACAAACTTATCTGTTATAACTTCAGCCTGAATGAAAAAGGACACGAACCCTAAAATCCGTCTCTGGCTGTCTGCGTAAATAAGACTTAAGAGGTATGCAAATCTGTTAAAAGAATCGCAGGTGGCAACCCAAGAAGCGGAAAAACAATGGGCTGTCAGAACTCAGAAGCACTTACCCCACCTAATGAACTATTGTGTTCCATAACAATCTCAACCAGGAAAAGCAAAAGCAGTAATTATCAAAAGCAATATCTTTACCCAAAAAGAGGCAAAAGCAAAAGCAATGATTATTAATCAAAGCTCCCAGTGATCAGCATAGTACTAACTAGACTATAGTAATGTTTACAAATTATTTGCATCAGTTCGCTTTCGCTTGTAACTATCCTTCGATTGTGTTGACAGAATAATGAAGAGGTCTACGTACCACAGAACAATGAAGGAGGTCTACGTACTTTATATATCAGATAAAACATTCGTTTCTAAACTAAACTGCCTAATAGGTCCTTCTCACTTGCTAACGAGACAAACTTTTCAAGCTTAAAAAATGTTTTAGAGAAAATTATTTTTTCGGTAGGTATAATCAACATTGGTTTTCATGAAAAACCGTATATTTAATGTGAAGAGATTTTTCTAAATAAGAAGCACCTAAATTAATCTGTTGCCAAACCATCGTTAAGTAATTCCAATATAACAGGAATAGAAGCTGGTCGGATGTTCTGAAATGCAATTGACTAATGTTTTTTTTTTTTTCTGGGCAAGTGACTGACCAATTTTTACTCAATACAAGTATGTTGTATGGATCCCCCGGGGAACACAACCCAAGCAAATGCCTCCGGCATGGCTTAGCACCTAAAAGTGTTGACATCAATAATTCAGATTATGCCAAATCAGAGATGGCATATACCATGATAAATAACATCTCAAAGTAAATGACCTCTGAAGAAGACAGAAGGAACAAACTCCTCACCCTCACATACAATTGAAACAGCTATGAAGCTTTGTCCATGAGTTGGATTGGTGTCAGAATGTTCTGTTTGCTTGTCTCAACAATACATCCATTCATGACCATTTCTTCCAACATGAAATGTGCCTTCTCTAGGTGAAACATGATATCTAGTTCACACTGAAAATTTTAACAGGAATAAAAGAAATTAAATTAATTGCGTGTTCTAGTAAATTATTTAACAAGAGAAAGCAGAAAATAGGTCTACTTTTAGTAACAACATGATTACAAGATGGTTAACCCTGACATGATTCCAGTTATTGGGGCTTACCACATTCCCAAAATGGCGATCCATGGTTTCAACTAAAAGATGTATGAATTCCAGAATAGCCAGTTCATTCTGCAAAATAAAAGATATGGAATTGGAAGGAACATGAATTCTACTTGCAATGGCATATTAATGCAGTGGCACAGCTACTAAATTATTTAAGACAGACCGATTAAAGAAATCTAATGAAAAAGATGAAATTAATAAATCACTACTTAAACAAGCAATAATTAGCTTAACTACTTGCTAACAGACTTGTGCAATGCTACTACCTGAAAAAGAAAAAAAAAGGTTTCATTTGAATACTTCTGAAATCCAGGTTATGTTAAGTCGCGCACAAATAAAAGAGAAGAGAAATGTCAAGGAAAAAAATCTCATATCGAAGTTTGCACTTTGCTTTTACAGTCATATAGTGGAACTTATAAACTTCTTTTCTAGTTTAGAACTTTATTGAGACTCCAAAATGCCTGTATATGTAAAGACTTAAAAGGGCAGCCTAGTGTATGAGGCTCCAACCAATACAGTGTCTGGGGAAGGACTTAATAGATGCTAAAATCCTAATAAGATCTTCACCTTTTTAACTCAACCTATGAAATCACTTGTCAAAAGAAATCCAATCAAAACAAATCCTAAAACTAGCAGGATTCTAATTTAGATAACAGAGAATAGTCAAATGAGTTTCAACTTTCAGGTACGCACTTAGAAATTGAATAGTCACAATTTTTAAATGCATAATAAAACATTGTTATGGTAGGAAAAATATGGAAAAGAGTGTATTACTTTAACCATTTACATGCTCTATTTGTTTATAACAAAAATATATCTGGGATATGAGAACCCTCCAGCACCAGCATATAAATGCCTTTGAAGATCCCTGAGAAGGGGCAGTATGAAAGTCAAAAGCAGATCTATGACTGAAAGCAAAATTTGACATGACATCTGGATTCTAATGAGATCTTTCTCACCCAGCTCAACCGTGTTGAGCTGGTTGATGATCTCCCTATTGGGATTAGCAATGACAGTAATTACGCTTGATCCCATGTGGCAGTTGGAGTATTTATTATTGGAAGCTGCAATCCTAGAGTTAGGGAAGATTCAGAGGATGGAACAGTTGATGTTTGAAAGTCAGCAATGAGACCAATATGACGAGCATTAAGAGCTAATAGCACACAGGGTAAGTTTGTTGGCTTACGATGAAAACGGGGAATTCCTCATGATGATGGGGAAGACATGATGCAGATACAGAAGCAATGAACCATGGGGAAGTATATCAGTTTTCCAATTCACACTGCCTACACAAATTTCAGAATATTTACTGTTGTTTTGAAATTACTATTTATGGTAACTTTTGGACTTACTATCCCATAATTACTGGCATCCTTACATTTAGTTTTAGTAGGATTAGTAAGGTGTCAATTAAGTTTATTTAGAAATTAGAGTCCCTGTTTAAGTATCCTTATGAATTACCTATATAGAGATTTGTCTTAGTTCCAAAGCAATTAGAAGTTGATTTGGGTCAGTTTCCTAATTCAAATTGGAGTCTGTAAAGGAATATCTGAGTTTATAATAAAGTCATTGTAATTGCAATTTAGAAAGGAATGATTTGATGAAATAAGTGTGTTTGGTTGTCATGAGGAATTTTTTCTCCTTTTATTTCTCCGTTAGTTATTTCTTCTTCTAAGTAATCTATCTTTTTGTTTTTTGCTATAATAGAAAGAATTCTTCTCTCTTTCTAATCCTTTGTCCAATCTTTGGTGGACAGAAGAATGCCTACTTATTTATCCATCCTTATTTTTCATCCATAATCACCTATGGCCCCTCCACCCCACAAAAGAAGTATTGATACTTTACTTAACACCCTCCTTTTAAAAAGGTTATATAGCTAATGAACATTCAATGCCAACTGAATTTATGTCACTATCATTGTAAAACCAGGAACTTTGTTTTTCTTAGAAAAGGTGGACCTATTATCACCTAGACATGTATGTAGTTCTTATTCCTCTTACTAATATAACAAAAAAGTAATAAACTATTTTCACTAGTGTACAATTCCATAGTTTTTTTTTTCTTTCTCTGTGACATACAGCATGTTGGTAGGGAAGAGGTCTAAAACATTGGATGGTGCTGTCCATGCTACCAAGGAGAGAAAGGAAATGGCTTCATACCTGGGAAACAAACTGAGAGAATAGAAGGAGATGGTTACTGCTGACTACACTCTTAAAACAAAGAAAGCATGCATGAGGAGAGCGGCACCAATTCTTTCGTTTCCACTGAAGCTTCTCCTTTGTGTTGATGGCCTGCAAAGTAGCTCCCGGACGGAAAAATTTTACCTTTGGAGGGGCCAGACCAATTGAAAGAGCCTTGGCTGGGAAATAGAGTTGTAGAGAACACTGATGTGGGCCCCACTGCAGTGGKCCCCACTGTTCGTAGGACAGCATGTGTAGTTATTTGTTTCAGTTATAGTAGTGTCAGTTTGAGTCAGTTTGTTAATTCAGTTGTTATTTATTTCAGCTTTATTTACTTTATTTATTATGTAAGTACTAAGGGCAGATGTGTCCTTTCCATTGTGTACTAAACATAACCTATAAATAATAAGAAAGTGGCGGCGGCAGATCTGTCAGAATCT